TCCCCCTCTCCCTCCCCCTCCCCCTCCTCTCTCCCACCCTCTTCTCCCAGCTGCACACCGCTGCCAGTCCCAGCCTGGGCCTCCCACCAGCTCCTGATCACCGCGGATCCTCCTTGTGCCTTCTACACAAGGAATGTGAGACTGCAAAAGCCAGAGCCCAGATCTGAAACCAGGACCTTACCCTGCGTCCAGGGCTGTTTCTCTTCCCTTATTCTGTGTGCCTCATCCTGTTCCCTCTGTGGAGTTCAAACGCTGTCTCTCCGGTCACTGAGTCTCCTGAAAAAAAAATGACACTAGATTAACACGGGAAAATGAATTTATTAACTGTGTGGGGGCCAGACAAAATAAACTCAGAGAATGATCAGGTGGTTAGGGTTTGAACACCCTCTTCCTGGGAGATACAGAAGTAGGGCTGTATGCAATGTGAGTGGGATTGTAAATAATTTTAGAGGAGGGAAAGAGCCCAGAGAATAGACGGTAGCTTAGGTCAAAGCTCCGCTGAGCTCCAGGGTGTTTGATTGTCAGCCGCCTTCTCCGTGACAGGAGTTTAATCTGCTTTGGTTAATGACATGTCAGTAAAAAGATTCAAAGAACACCGGGCTCCTCTTGGACAGACCCCGTGTTTGTGTGGACCAGGGAGCCTCAGAGAAAGTCCCGCCTGCATTTGTCTCTCCTCAGGGAGGCAGGACACAGTGAGGGACACGTCCCGGCCTTGGGCTCACAACACACTCCCAGCCTGCTGGTTCTGGGAGACCAGGAGCACATCTTGCCTTCGCAGTAATTCCCTAACACCCGACATGAGCCTGAGAAAGATGGGCCTACCCTCACTGTGTCTTCTTAACACCCTGCTGTGAGCCTGGACCATACCTTCCTGCCCTTGTTACACTCCTTGACCTCTGACCTGAGCCCCGGAGTAAGGTCATAAAAGCAGCAAGGTACTGATGGAACAGATTAGAAGATGCAGAAATAACTCTAAACACACTCAGCCACCTTATATTTGACAAAGGGGTCCAACACCTTCACTGGAAGAAAGATACACTCTTTAATAAATGGTGCTGGGAAAGCTAGCATTCCACATGCCAAAGACTAAAACTAGACCAGTATATCTCTAAACTAAAGTCCAAATGGATCAAAGATCTAAACATTAAAACAGAAAAACCAAAGAGAAGAGAAAGTAGGTAGAACTCTTGAAGGTATGGGTGTAGGAAAAGACTTTATAAACAAAACCCTACCTGCACAGGAGCTACTACAAAGAATCAACAACTGGGATCACCTCTTATTAAAAAGCTTTTGAACCACAAGAAACCACCAACAAAGTGAAGAGACAACCCACAGAGTGGGAAAAAATTTGTCAGCTGTTCCTCAGACAAAAGACTAATATCTAGACTATATAACAAATTCAAAAAAATCAAACTCCCCAAATTTAAAGACCCAATCCAAAAATGGGCATCTGAAGTGAATAAACACTTCTCAGATGAAGAAGTAGAAATGGAAAATAAATATATGAAAAAAAAATTTTCAACATCACTGGTCATTCAAGAGATGCAAATTAAAACAAGGCTGAGACTCCATCTCACTCCAGAAACAATGGCCATTATCAAGAAATCAACCAATAACAAATGCTTTACAGGCTGTGGGGAAAAGGAACCCTTCTCCACTGTTGGTGGGAATGTAGACTGGTGTAACTGCTGTGGAAATCAGTGTGGAGATTCCTCACAAAACTAGGATTGGAGGTTCCATTTGACCCAGTTATTCCCCTTCTTGGTATCTTCCTGAAAGAATCAAAAGCATCATATCACAGGGATATATGCATACCCATATTTATAACAGCACAGCTTATAATAGCTAAATCTTGGAAACAGCCCAAATTGCTATCAACCAATGAATGGATCAAGAAGATGTGTTTGTTTTATACAATAGGATACTACTCTCCCATAAAGAAGGATAAGCTTGAGCTATTCTTAGCTAAATGGATGCACCTTGAGACCATACTTTAAGTGAAATAAATTGGGTGCGTATGTTTAAATATCAATTATTTCTCTGCTGTGTGAAACCAAAATGTAAATAAGGATGAAAATATAAAATAGATATTGTGAAACAGGAAGAAAATGTTCAAATGAGAAGGGAAACAAAGGAGGAAGGAGGGGGAAAGGAAGGAAGGAACAAGGGAAAAAAGAAAAGAAATGAAAACAAAGCTTTTATAAATAAGGAGGGCTGCTTAGGCACGTAGCTCTCACACCCTCAATCCTAGCACCCTTGGTCCTAGCATTGCACCATGCGCCATGCACACACTCAAATCCAGCCCCCTTTGAAAAGCCCAACCTATGACCACATCTGGACACAGCCCTGACTGAAGGAGCGCTCTAAGTAAAACTTACTCTTGAGCTCCCTTTTTGGTCCACTCTGGATCTCTGTGGTGTGTGCTCCTCTTCAACAAATTGCTGCCCTGGCGGGCTACCTTCCTGCCTGCTGGCTCCCAGAGGGTGGGCCCCCAGCGCACGGGGAGCCTGGGGC